TTTCTCACTTTTCTCTCAACATACACCTCTCTATTCTTTAATCTCTCTTTTCTTTCATCCCTATCATTTCCATGCATTTGTAGGCACCTCTGGATACACTGAGGATCTGCTAGAGCTATTAGCCTCATTTGAGGGCATGATATTGAGGAGGAGGGCACTGCTCGGCTTCTATGACATTCAGGTTATTTCTTCAGCTTTCTTACATGCCAGTCATCAAATTTCCACTGACATACTAAAATTGACATTTCAACTGAAAATTTCCCCACATTACATTAATACACTGCATCTGAATTCATATAATGTACCTGACTTCTATATATACTCATTTGGCACACCATACTTGCATCTGATGTACAACTGTGGCTGACATATGACATTTTTAGATCCCACCTATACCGGCAGCACTGGCAGCAGCAACACCAGGACCATCAGTACCTCCTCTGGCAATAGGGAGAGAGAGAGGCTCCAACACGCAGCTGAGGCCGAGCTAGGAGCGCCCAAGCTAAGAGTGGCCCTTCAGAGCCTATTTTGAGCGAGGATGATACTGAGACCAGCAAGGCTGAGGAGGCAGTGAGTCAGCATGCTGATTCATCTGAGAGTAGAGACGATGATGCCGGTTCAGGTTCTGCTAGTGGCGATGCTACTGAGCCAGGTTTTGAGGTAGAGAACAACAATGACTCTGGTTCCTGTTCGGCATCCGATTCAGACAACGGTACGGATGGAGACAGCTCTCAGTCCCCACCCAGGAAGAGGACGAAGAGGGCCTCTCAAGCCTGCGATAGCTAGCACTGATCTATCTATATTTTTTCTTAGTTTCTTTTATCAGAAGTGTTAGCACTTTGTATAGTTTCAGACGAGTTTTATTTTCCTTAAAAACTTGTACTGCACTTTTTGTAAAAATAACCATGATCGGAATGAAAATCAAGCCTTTTGAAAAAGTGTTTGTATTTTCATCATGAGTTGGGCCCAAGGCCGTTTGGAGCATGTTGTTCTACATATTGTTACGTAACTGTCATATCTGATATTATTCACTGGGCTATCGCTCACGCTCATTCATGTGTTTGTAGGTGAGCCAAGAGGAGCACAAACCCAGCCCTAGTGAAGTCTGCTAGGAACAACATGAGTTTTGGGAGAGTCAGCCTTGTGCCTCACGCATGAGACCATCCTTGTCCTTTTACTATGTACTTATGTTTTGTCTTGTTGGCAAGGACCTAGTGCATGTCTGTACAGAACCTATGTCACTATGTTTCTGTTGTGAGTTATTAATGTACATATGTATGGTTTGTTTTGACGTGCCATGTAAGCACAGCTCTATGGACAAAGTTTTAAATTTCTGCTTCCCTTTTGGCCCCCTTTTCTATGATGTGTTAAGTCTGTTTTGGTTTGAGGCCGTAGGTAATCTTAGGATTACTGTCTGGTTACATCCTTATGTTTTGACGTGCCATGTAAGCACAGCTCTATGGACAAAGTTTTAAATTTCTGCTTCCCTTTTGGCCCCCTTTTCTCTGATGTGTTAAGTCTGTTTTGGTTTGAGGCCGTAGATAATCTTAGGATTACTGGCTGGTTACGTCCTTAACCCATGGGGGCGGGTTCGAGTCGTGACAAATATGGTGCTATGTTTATATTTTTATGAAATGAAAGTGTTATATATATTTTTTGTTATTTAATTATGTAAATCCGTGGTCCTAAACCGATCCAATCCGTATTTAAATGGATTGGTTCGGATTGGTTCCACGATTCAAACGGATTGGATTGGTTCTAATTTTTCAAGAACCGTAGATAACAGATTGGTCCTGGTTTTACCTCAATCCGGTCCAATTCGGACCATGCTCACCCCTATCCTCTATCAATTCCCTTCATTCTATCTCTGAAAACGACGCGGCAGGAGGGAGGGGGGAGGGGTGGTATACGTACCTTTGAGTGGTGTAAGACCTTTGTCCAATAGAGCATAATACTGATAAAAACCCATGAAGCCACAAGCAGCAAAAGTCCAGAACATAGCAACGGGGATTCGGAGTTCATCAGCTACTTTAATGGAGAATGGCATTACACCATCAGAGACAATACAAGTAACAGCTGGTGTAGCATTATCGTCGTCATTGAGTTTGGCAAGGAGGTTACGAAATGGTGTCAAGAAGTTTCTTCTGACGGATCCATAGAGAGCAGCTACGTCGTGGGTGGCGTTGGGATCGGATGGTGGGAGGCTGTGGGGACATAATTTTTGAATGACAATACGTGGCCGAGGTGACATCGAAGTGTCAGCTGAGGTGTCACGTGTCCTGGTCATGATGCTGAGATGATCTCGGCTAGGCTGAGGTTATCTGCGAGAATACCGAAATCCGAGATAAGCGGATAAGGGACAAGAGTCCTAGAATGGGAGAAGATTTCAATTTAGGTAAAAATGAGACTCTTAGAGAGTTTATCCTAAATCTACTAGGAGTCCAAGATTAGCAGTAATCCTAAGTCCATTAGAGCTAGGTTACTATTGGGACTAAGATTGTGTTGGCTATAAAATGGAGGCACCCTTATGGGTCTAAGGTATGCTTTTGATATTCTGTCTAGTGAGTTAAGCACTACTGGTTATCTTTGAGAGATATTGAATGCTGACTTGATCATCAGAGTGCCCCTGGGTGGACGAGCCACCACCGGAAACTCTTCTTTCTGTTGCAGCCCTCTGTTGCAGCTCGCTCGGGCTTAATCTATTTGCCAGTGCTCTCCAGCTGAATACTGATTTGGCAGTGTGGTCAGAAAATCACCCACACAGAGGCTATCTGGGATTGTTTTGAATTGGAAGTTAGGGAAGCCATTCAGAGAGTCAGGTCCTCTGGCTTTGGTTAGGCGGTTTTGGTTGAACTCTGTGTTGACAAAGGTAATGAAAAAGCCCCTGTGATGGAGGAGCTTTGCTAGTTTCATCATTCCTTTTATGTGGCTTTGAGCTGGGTAGGGTATACAAACTGCATGAGGCTTATTCTCAGCTACTGCCATTGCCATTGCTTTGCACACATATGAATGGCAACCGGCCGGGGCGGGGCCGGGGACCACCCTCCCCGTCCCCGATCCCTGAAGATTACAAAATCCCCGCCCTGTGATGGAGGAGCTTTGCTAGTTTCATCATTCCTTTTATGTGGCTTTGAGCTGGGTAGGGTATACAAACTGCATGAGGCTTATTCTCAGCTACTGCCATTGCCATTGCTTTGCACACCTAGGAATGGCAACCGGCCGGGGCGGGGCCGAGGACCACCCTTCCCGTCCCCGATCCCTGAAGATTACAAAATCCCCGCCCCCGCCCCCGATCCCCGGCGGGGGAGCCCATCACCCTTCCGTCCCCGTCCCCTAACGGGGATCGGGTTTCCCCGACCCCGAAATATCCCCGGGCTTTTTTTTTTCGAATTTTGTTTAACAAAACACTGACTAATCAGTATAATATCACAAATCAACAAACCAGATCTGAGTACAGATCAATTTTGTGAACAATACAGATCAATTTTGAACAATACAGATAATTAAACAAATTAAAAAAAATTATTCTAAACAACACAGATCTGAGTACAGATCAACAACAACAACAACATCAGATCAGAGAGAGAGAGGACAGATCTAACAAAATCGACGGTGTTGGCGAGATCGACGGTAACGGTGGTTGTGGCGGGGCCAACGGTGGTTGTGGCGGGGCCAACGGTGGTGGTGGTGATGTCCCCGTGACTATGAGAGAGCTGAGAAAGAGAGAAGAACGAGAGGGTTGAGAGAGAGTGAGAGGTGAGAACGAGAAAGTGAAGACAGTGAGAGAGTCGAGAGAGAAGATACGAGTGAGAGAGTTGAGGAGGGCAGTGGAGGAGCGGTGCTATCAGATCGGCGGAGGACGGCGACGAAAGAGATCAGTGTGTGAGGAAGCTGTGACTTTCTTCTCTCTCTCTCTCTCTCTCTCTCTCTCACGCGAATGAAGCTGTGTGTTTGTGTGATTGTGTGAGGAAGGGGACGGGGATTATAGTAATATATATAAACAGAGGTATTATAGTAATTTTATTTCGGGGAGAAAACCAGGGACGGGGACGGACCGGGTCCGGGACTGTGAAAGCTATCCCCGTCCCTGGCCCGAAACTAATCGGGGATTTAATTTCAAATACCATCCCCGTCCCCACGGGGATATTTTTCAGGGAAAAACCATTGTGATCGGGGTTGGGGGGTCGGGTCCCCGTCGGGCCGGTTTCAAATTGCCATCCCTATGCACACCTCTCCTTCTAAGGCTTTTCTCTTCTCTTTTGTGTGTGTGTTTGTGTGTCTTTGTGCTTGTCGTGTGCACTGCAAAATAATGGACACACACAGAGAGAGAGAGAGAGAGACTACCCTTTAATATTGGTACTGTAAATAACTTCATCTTGCTTGAATTCCAAAGTTTTGATTAATTAAAAAACAAAAGAAATCACAACAGATCTACTTATTTTCATTAAGAAACTATATGTCATACACGTGTATGTGGGAGAACATCCAAGTTTAGATTGATGGACTAAGACACATAAAAAAGGCACCCACAAGCTCCAACAACCCCATGGAGTTCACTTGCGGACGGAAGACAATCCTCTCCATATCATATCATATCATATATATACAAAGGTTTATGAATACACATGTTAAGATTGGCAATTGGATCCACCAATCCTTAAATTTTGGAGATAAACTCTATTATGATATTAATAAGGTTGAAATAATGATATACAAATAAAAAAAATTATATAGAAACAAAACAAAAAAGCTTATAAAGATAATTTTATTTTCAAAAATAATAGGGTAAATTAAAAAATAAAAAAAACCCCTAAAATTTTGCATGTTTTGCAATTTAAACCTCAAAGTTTTTAATTTTGACAATTAAAACTCTAGAGTTTGTTTCGTGTCACAATGTAAGCTTCATGTCCATCTCTGTTTCATGAAGTAACGAAGAAAGTCATTTTTGACGCCCAAACCTACCCGAACGATGCCGTTTTTTTTATTAGCCCCATATAAAAGGCCCCAAATCTTTAATTTCATCGATTTTTTCGATTTCATCATCATCATCATCTGATCAACAAAAAAACAAATTTTATATGTTTTTATCTGTTGCAATACCAAGCCAAACCAAACTTTAAATAAAAAAGCACAAAACATATTTTTGAACAAATTAAAAATAGCTCCATCACCATCACCTCAAGAAAAAAAGAGAAAAGAGAGCTCTAAATCCATTTTTGAAACATCTAGATATGTCTTCGAAATGTGCATATCTGAGTTCAGAGAGATCTAGAGAACACATCATTCTTACAGAGGCTAGGGTTTCGACAGCGGCCTTCCGATGGCAAAATATCTAGATTTGTCTTCAAAATGTGCAGATCTGAGTTCAGAGAGATATAAAGAACACATCCTTCTTACAGAGGCTAGGGTTTCAACAATGACCTTCTAATGGCAAAGGCTAGGATTTCATCGCTCAAATCTGAAATTGAGATGGCGATGGCAGAATGGAGGCCGGCGGTGTTGCTTCAAACGATAAGAGTTGAGGGGAGAGAGAGAGAAAGAGAAATATGTGGAGAGTGAGAAAGGGAGAGAAAAAGAGAGAAGGTTCAGATCCAAGAGAGGGGAGTGGCAGACTACCTTTGACCTTCGCGATTTGAGATAGACCTTCGAACCTCTTTGCTTGATCTCTACCGAAGCTTTCATAGTAGGGAAGTTGATGATGAAGAACGATCAATTTTAGAGAGGAATGATGTCAGCAAAGGAATGAATGTGCTTGGTGGGGACGTTTCGGACTATGACGGTGGTGGGGTTGCCATAATTTTATACAACAAGTTGCAGTGGTGATATGGGAATGGTTGTGTTCTCCGGTGGTTGTGAAAGAATTTAGGGATGGTGGTGGAAATGGGAATTTTGGTGAGGCCGTTGGGAAAGGGGGCGGTTGGGGAAATGGGCAGTGTTGGAGAATGAATGGTTAAAAGTGAAGTTTGAGAAATAAAAAGGTTTGATCCTCTGTAATGTGCCTGTTTGGTACAGCTTAAAAGCTGCTTATTTCAGCTTTCAACTTAATTTAAGCTATTTTAATGTGTTTGGTTTAGCTTAACGATGCAGCTTATAGCTTTTTGTAAGTCAGAAATCAGCTTATTCTTTGAGTGGGACAGGAGATGCTTAATTTATAAGTCAGAAATCAGCTTATGTTCATAGTTATAAGCTATAAGCTGCCAAGGTATAAACTATAAACAATTTCCCACAGCTCTACCAAACAGCGCCAATATGTTCATGGTAAAAATAATTTTTATTTTACATTAATTTTGAAATAACAAGTTAAGAGTACGACACGTGTTAAAAAAACAAGTTCTCTTGTTAGTTTAGTAGACGGAGATGGACGAAGGGCATAAATTGTGACACATAATAAAATTCGAGGTTTAAATTGATGAAATTAAGACTCTAGGATTAAATTTGAAAAACAAGAGAAATCTTACAATTTTTTATTTATTTTTTTTTAATTTGCCCAAACTAACATTATGACATAGTTCTTATAAAAATTTTATACGAATTTTATAAGGGGTTTTCCATATAAGTTGGTGTTTGTTGTGTATTTTAGGCTTAGAGCAATCTTTTGTTGCCGGCCCGATTTGTTGACTAGCTCTCTCTCTCTCTCTCTCTCTCTCTCTCTCTCTCTCTCTCTGTGCTAGTCGTAAAAAGGTGAGTTACGAGAGGGACAAAATGGGATACCAATTCTTTCTTTTTATTCTGTATTTACAATCAATTCTCATCACACCAATTTAAGCCAGACATCTAAGTTAAAAAAATGAAAAATAGGAGAAATTATAGAAATGGTCCCTATAATTTACTTGTGTTTTCATTTTGGTCTCTGCACTTCTAATTGTTTCAATTTTGCCCCTGCAGTTTGGTTTTTGGTTCGAAATGGTCCAATAGTTAACCGCCATTAGCTTTTTGGATGAAAAATTGACTTGTGCAAGGCACGGACTAGCCAATTTTGACTTTCTTGAGTGTTTATGGATCAATTCAATTTGTTTAATAGATGTTTTATTTAATTATTATTATTTTTTAAAGTAAATTTATTTAAAATTTTAATTAAAAAAATAACATATATTTTTAGTGATATTTTATTTATTTAATTTTTAAAAATAAATTTATTTAATTGTGTAAAAAATAAAATAAAATAAATTTTATTTAATCTAGCTAAAAATAATTAAAATATTAAAGATATGGTAAAATAGTCTTTTGCACATTTATCCTTATCCAGTTTGTTCAACCAAACATTAAATTCACTAAAAAAAGATATTTCACACATTAGTCTCATGGGATACCAATCCCATGAAAATAATCCCCCCTCTATCCCCCCCAGGATTGTTTAGCCCCTTATATAAGGGATATAAAGGGGGTTTTTTTTTTAAGGTCCTTGATCTTATGATTTTATAGCATAAAGGACATCAAATATTTTTATGATGTCTAAGGTCCATCAACAATATTTTCATAATGTCTAAGGTCCCTCAACCTTGATCCAGAGAAATTTCAGTCCAGAGAAAATTGGTCCAGAGAAATTTCAGTCCAGAGAAAATTGGTCCAGAGAAATTTCAGTCCAGAGAAAATTGGTCCAGAGAAATTTCAGTCCAGAGAAAATTGGTCCAGAGAAATTTCAGTCCAGAGAAAATTGGTCCAGAGAAATTTCAGTCCAGAGAAAATTGGTCCAGAGAAATTTCAGTCCAGAGAAAATTGGTCCAGAGAAATTTCAGTCCAGAGAAAATTGGTCCAGAGAAATTTCAGTCCAGAGAAAATTGGTCCAGAGAAATTTCAGTCCAGAGAAAATTGGTCCAGAGAAATTTCAGTCCAGAGAAAATTGGTCCAGAGAAATTTCAGTCCAGAGAAAATTGGTCCAGAGAAATTTCAGTCCAGAGAAAATTGGTCCAGAGAAATTTCAGTCCAGAGAAAATTGGTCCAGAGAAATTTCAGTCCAGAGAAAATTGGTCCAGAGAAATTTCAGTCCAGAGAAAATTGGTCCAGAGAAATTTCAGTCCAGAGAAAATTGGTCCAGAGAAATTTCAGTCCAGAGAAAATTGGTCCAGAGAAATTTCAGTCCAGAGAAAATTGGTCCAGAGAAATTTCAGTCCAGAGAAAATTGGTCCAGAGAAATTTCAGTCCAGAGAAAATTGGTCCAGAGAAATTTCAGTCCAGAGAAAATTGGTCCAG